TATATTTTTAAAAAAGTTCTTCTTTTTTTACAGTGGCATAGTATTCCATTATGTAGATGTACCACGGTTTTTTAATCCACTCACCTGCTGATGGGCACTTAGGCTGTTTCCAAATCTGAGTAAATTATGCTGCTATGAACATAGGGGTGTATATATCCTTTCTGATTGATGTTTCTGGTATCTTGGGATATAGTCCTTGGAGTGGGATTACTGGGTCAAATGGGAGTTCCATTATTAGTTTTTTGAGGAAACTACATTCTGTTCTCCACAGTGGCTGCACCAGTCTGCATTCCCACCAGCAGTGCAGGAGAGTTCCATTTTCTCCACATCCTCGCCAGCACTTGTCGTTTGTTGATTTTGGGTATTTTTTGCAATAATTGACTTGCATGTTCAAGAGACAAGCCCAAAATGATCTAGAACCTATAAGTTTATATTTTCACTGATAGTTTGTTAGTCCTACCTGTGAAAATATCCACTCTCCTTGTCCATTAGTGACCAAAGGAAAAGGCTCACCTATGCATGATCAGAACATCATTCTGGAAACATAGAGGTTTATTACCACCAGCTGTTGTAATAATCTTGTTCAACACGTAACAGAAACCCTATGCAAATAAGTAACTATATGAACTCCAATTATAAAGCTCAAAAAGGGTGTGAAAAATGATGTAAACAGAACCACATAAAAATAAAATTGGAGCAATTACCAGAGGAACTGCCTTGCATGACCTTTGGAGTGTTAGAACTGGGCACAATAACCTTTGGACTGGGTCAAACCACCACTGCGTTCCAAACAAGTCTGTTAAACTAACAGAAATGCCATCTTAGTTCTTCGGTTCCAAAATCATGCCAATCAAAAACTGGACACTCCCTAGGATTTTCATTCCCACAAACGTGCTTTTTGGCCTTTGTTCTTTGTATAGCCGTTACCCTCTGCCTGGACACTCCCTCTCCCGAGTTGTTAACTCCTGCTCAACGCTCAAGTCTCTCTTTTATTTTTATATTAAAATAAGTAATTTCCTCTGCAAGCCCCACAAATCTGATTGAACTCCTAAACTTGGGTTACATGGCCCTTCTGCTTCTCCATGTGATCTCATAGCATCCTGCACTTATCCTTATTGCTTCTCTTCTCAGTTTCCCTCACTAGAATGCAAATTCCCTGAAGACCAAGCTGAGTGCCTAGCACATAGGTGATCAGTAAAGGTGTAGAATGGAGTAATCAGACCCTTTTCTAGAATCACCCAGAACAATTCGAGGCATCCCTCCTTTCTTCACCTCAGTATTAGCGATACCCATGGAATCTCTCTTCACAATTATGGCTCATCATGCACCTGGTCCCGGGGAGGCTGTTCTCAGGTGCAGAGCCCGGGCTGGGCTGCTCTAAGCTGTGAGTGCCTGCACTAAGCCTTCTTGCCAGTAGGTGGCAACTGAAGCCTGCAAGCTGAACACGGCCTCTGCTCCCTCCTTCCCTCCCTTCCTGAGCCGCTTGGAGAGGATGCTCTGGTGGGGACCTGGCTCTTGGCTTCCGGGCTGCTGTTCCTTCTTGCCTGTCTGGAAGCAGCCATTGCCTAGACTTCTCCTTTGTCTTAGATTCTAATTTGGTTCAAGTGCGTATGTTCCAACTAGAGCTAAAAACTAGGTGGGCTCTGAGAGCTGTTAAAATCATATTTTTAGAGCATGCACGTTCTTAGTCATTCTCCATAGTTTTCCTGCGTGTCCTTGTGGATGATGCCGAGTTCCATGTCAAGGAGGTAGCCTGGGTCCCCTCTGAGTTCCTCCGGAAGCCCAAGGGCTGGAACTGGAGAAAGTTATTTTTGTTTTAAAGCAGTAGGGAACAACACCAGTAGAGAATGACCGTGGGTGTGTGGGAGGAACTTATTGAGGCACGGCAAGTATCACGTTAACCTCGTCCGAGAGCTATTTTTAAATGATCTTTGAGGCTGTTTGTTTGATCATGTTACTGCTTTGGGTCTGAACTTGGTGGTGACAGTCTCATAAGAATGACATTGAGCTGCAGCAGTGTTGTTGTGGGGCAAGTGATCCTTGGGAGGCAAAGGAGAGGCTTCCAGTCTTGTCTGGAGAGGGACGAGGGACGGTTTCTTAGGGAGGGGACAGTTTGAGCTGTCTTGAAGGAGGAGGGGAGGGTTATTCTGTCTAGGCGGAAGAAACAATTTGAACAAAAAGAGAAGCACAAATCAGCCTCTTGTATTTCCAAATGCGTCTAGCCTACCCCAAACTCTGCCTAGAGTCCCCTCAGCCTATTCGTGCCACCTTGCCCAAGGACTTCCTGGGAACCCTGGCCTCTTCCGGGTGACTCCCCTGCACATTTACCCTCTTGTGCCTGCTGTCTCCATGAGCACCTGGGCCTCTCTGCCTCCCCAGGCGCTGCTAGCAGCCAATGGAGTTCCCCTGGAATCCCATGTACCTGGGACAGGTGCCCTCGGCCGGGGTTTCAGGATGTTACAGGTGAGCTCCTTATCCTCCCTGCTCTGCTCTGGCTTTCAGCTTCCGTGAGCCAGGCCACTCAGCAGATCTCCTCTCGTAGGGGAATGATCGTCCCAGGAAGTGTGTGCCCTGAACTTCTCCTCCAGGCTGGAACAAGGACCTGGGAAAAGAGTGATGTGGGATTCTGGGACAGTTTTAAGAAAAGCTCACATTTTGCTGATGCCCCGGGCAGTGAGCAGGGCACAGGCTCCATGTGAGCATCAGGAATACGTGCCCCAGGAAAGGAGAGTGGAAGTTAAATGAGGCAGATGCGTGGCGAGCTTCTTGGAGAGAGAAATTAATCTCTCCCAGGGAGGATGCTAGACTGAGGTTGTTACATTCCGGAGGAAATGCTTAGGTTGGGACCATCCTTGTTGAGCCCCAGGCGGAGACCCAGGCTCTTTTCCGCCTGATAAGCACTCCCTTCCAACTCCCAGGCCTTGGTGTGGTGGTTCTGACACTGGACTCGTAACACTGTCATGCCAGGAGGCACTAGCGGGAGGTTCTGGAAATGGCAGGAATTCTGGAGGAGAACTGAAGGAGAGGCTTTTAGGCCCGGAAGAAACCTCAGAGCCCATGGAGTTCACTCCTGTCTCCACAGTGGAGGAAACAGGTGGAAAATTACTTGCTTCCTCAAGGCCACACTGAGTCAGGGGCAGAGTTGAGTCCATATAAAACACTGTTGCTATGGTTCTTGCAACTTCGGTCGTACCAGAGGATTTCTCAAATACTCCACCACCCCATGTTAGTTCCTTATTGTGGGGTATGAGTAAGCAAGGACTCTGTACATTGGCCTGGGATGAAAAGCTGTCCACGCTCTGCCGGAACAGTGCCACTGTGGTAGGCAGTTAAACAAACAGCAAGGACGACAGGCCAGGTTCAGGTCACCAGGGTGGAATGGGCAAAACTGGGAAAATAAGGACTTCACCCCCACAGTGACCTATCCTCCCCTCGCACACTGCTGGTCATGTTGGTTAGACCTCCTTAGAGGGGGAACGAACAAGGGGGCTGGAGAATAGCCCTTACACGTGAAGTCCTCAAGACAATGAGGTTCTGACCCAAATCAAATACATCTAGGCCTCAGTTGTGTTTCAGCTCCAGGCCCAGAAAAGCAGCAAAACCAGACAAGCCATGGCTGAGGTCAGGTTCAGCTGTATTGATTAACCCCTTCCCTGATGCTGTCCAATCAGTGAAGATCAGGACCCTAAAAGGACACACCTGGAAAGCTGATGGATATTCTATTGAGATCTTCCCTCACATCCCCACCCTGACAGCCTTTCGGACAGCAGACACTGTCTGTGGAGCACACCTGGGCCCGAGCCTTTCCCACCCCTCACTCCCTGTATGTCTTCCTTACCTCTCTCCCCTGAGTTCCATGGGCCCTTCTTTTGCTTCTGTAACTTGTTTCCTGAGTCCATTCTTCTACAGTTCACTCCTACCTCTGTGACTTTCTAACTAAATGTTCTCTTAAAAGTTTGAGTCTTGGCTCTGCATTCTTTCTCAGATAAAACTCAAGTACCGAGGTTGCTGAACTGGATCTCATACCTGGCGCTGTTTTCTCCACTGACACCACCACCGACCTCCAAATGCCCTCACCTCTTGGTTGGGCCTAAAGTTGCCTTTAACAGGAAGAACCAGACTCTGGTAGAAAGAACACGGTCTGCTGCCAGCAGGATCTCAAACCCAGTGGAGAAATGAAATGAAAGGGCCCAGAGGGTCCTAAAATAAAGGAGACAACAGCCTTTGGAGGGTTTGTTGCAAACTGTTATAATTAAAGTGCGGAAGGCAGAGGGGTTCCGGGCAGGCCTCAGCTTCAGAGGCACAGTCCTGGAGGGCGATGGCACCTGCAGGGGACATGAACTCAATCACTGCTGTTCGCTACAGAGTTGCGGTGGAGTCTTCTTATGGAGCCCGAGAGCAAAAGAAGGGAGAGCCAGCAAGCAGCTGCTTTAGATTCCACATCTTGCTGCATTCCCACTGTGACATCACCTCCCTGGAGCAGGCCTCAGGCCAAGCTGGGGATGGGCACAGACCCTTCCTCCGGCCCCGGCCGCCTGCCAGCTCAGGGCGGCCCAGCCATCCTCACTCTCATTCACCATAAACTTCCTTTTGCTGCCAAGAGGTTTTCTTCAATTTGTAGCTTAAAAGCACCAGCAGGAGAAAAAGCAGGAATGTTCTTGTTAATATAAATCCACGGCAGAAATGAGTCAAGAACTGGGTGTTTCTCAGGGAATGTCCCAAATTCTTTATGCTTGGATGGGTAGTGCAGTTGAAGGTGCCAAACATCTGAGTGTTTAGGACTACTTCATGTTTTTGAGAAGCAATGGGGAGGGTCACTGGGCAGAATCGGAGCCCAGAATCAGGGAAGGAAGGAGAGGGGAAACGGGTTGAATCCTGACATCATTCCCAAAGGAAGGCAGCACTACTTCCAGCAGCAGCAGCAGCAGGAAGGCCTGTGCCAGGCTCTGCTTGAGCGGCAGGGTAGTGGGGTAAGGAGGCAGCCCCTCTGGCTGCTTTGGTTACTGTTTGGGCAAAGCGAAGTCCCAGGCAGTGTCCTGTGCACACTTCCACATGGCCTGCACCAGGCGGGTGAAGCCCATGTCTTTGGGCTTCTCCAGGCCTCTCATCAACCGCTGTTTCATGATGGAAACAAACTCCTTATTGCTCAGCTCCCCGTTGCCTAGAGGAAGAGGCAAACACAACAGGTATAAGCGGAGTCCTCCTCGGAACAAAGACAGAAACCCCATTGTTCACAGTGCGAGCTGTAAAACCCAGGACTATCACAGCCAAATTCGATTCTATTGACCAGAAATGAACTGTTTTGTTTGTGATGTTTCTGGCTGCATGCAGCTGTGACAGGTTAGTGTGACAAAAGTTAAATGTCAGGTCCTGTGCTACATGGTGTGAATAAGGTAAGGTGACCAGACATTCCGCTTTTCAACAATTTGTCCGGCGTCACCAATCAGGATTGTTTTAAAACGCCATGGGACGCGGGACAAATTGTTGAAAATCGGGAATGTCCTGCCAAAAGCGGGATGTCTGGTCACCTTAGAAGCAGGAGACAAATAGACCTTTGTCCCTTGAAATACTCAGAGGTTGTGGGAGAGACAAACACATGATCTCAACTGCGTGGTAAATGCCACAATGGGGTAAAGGATGCTCTAGGGGCAAAGAGGGAGACTCTTTAACCCAAGCAGGAGGTGGTACAACTACAAATCAGCAAAGCTTTCTTGGTGGAGGCTCTTAAGTTGAAACCCAAAAGATTAACAGGAATTGGCCAAGTAAAGGAGAGTGAGATGGAAAGCATTTCAGGTACGGTAATAGCATCAGCAAAGGCACAGCAGGGAGCAGCAAGCTGATGGAGCTCCTGGTAGCTGTTGCTGGACTTTCAGGGCAAGCAAATTACAGAGGCAGGCGGGAGACAGGCCCCCGAGGATCTTGTATTTTCATTAAAGGGTTTGCACTTTATCTTCTGTGTGGGAGGGCGCCAGGAAAGGACTGGAAGCAGGGGCGTGGAGTGGTTAGATTTCCATTTGGAGGGATTTTTCTGGCTGAATATATGGGATGGGAGGGCACAACTGGAGTATAGAGTCATTTAGGAGATTGTTACAATAGTCCAGCTGGGAGATGAGGGTTGCTCATGGTGAAAACCAAAATCACCATCTGGCTTTGGGTTGAGCCCATTTTCTCAAGGATTTCCATCTACCCTCTCCTATGGCAGACGGTCAGGTCTGGAAGAGAACTTGGAGAGCATGTGGTTTCACCAAAGGTCACCTCTCAAGTCACACGGAACAGTAACCACTCCAACAGTAGGAGGCAGTTACCCTTTGACTAGATGCCCAGGACTAAATGTCTGCCTTACTGGGGGTGATGAAGCAACAGGAAACCAGTGAACAGACCTCTCTACTAGTGGGAAGAGAGTGCAAAGAGGGACTAAATGGCTTACTTTTGTACAGAGTACCTGAACACCTGAACAGCCTGTTTGTGGCTGAAGAGAGCATGGGCAACCACAGAGACCCCCAGAGATACCTCCCAGCAAGATTAAATAAACAAAACAGGCAAACTAGTCTAAGGTGCTGTAAGCCAGGAGAGTGGCTGCCCCTGGGAGTGGAAGTGACCGGAAGGCAGCAGCAGAGGGCCTCTGTGGTCCAAGTATGTGATGTGTCTGGACAATGGTAGTTACATAGGTATGTTCAGCTTTTAAAAATTCATCTATCTGCCTGGCAGGTGTGGCTCAGTGGTTGAGCATCAATCTGTGTACCAGATGGTCATGATTTGATTCCAGAGCAGGACACACGCCCAGGTTTCAGGCTCTATCTCCAGTAGGAGGTATGCAGGAGGCAGCTGATCATTGATTTTCTCTCATCATTTTTGTTCTTATCTCTCCCCCTCCTTTCCTCTCAGATCAATAAAAATATATTTTAAAAATTCATCAATCTATACACTTATGATATTTACACTTCTGTATGTATATTTCAGTATTAAAAATAGTCTGGCTGGGCTTAAGCAGTCAATAATATGGCTTACTAAAAATGTAATTAAAAGAGCAAAAAGTCTAAACAAGATTCTTAATATTTTGTATATAAAATGAAGCTTCAGATGAAAAATCTGAGGCCATTTCATTCAAATTACTGTGGGATTTGTTACCTGCTTCCCTACGGCCATAGCTGGCTAGTCTGGATGGCTGTCGCCTCTGAACCAGGTGTGCGACCGAATGTCATTGTGTGTGTGTGACCTGTGAGTGCAACTCTAAATTCTTTGCTGAACAAGTCCTCTGACATTCTGACCTAAGACCTTGCACTGGTAGAAATATCAATGTCTTCTTATTTTTTTAATACAGTAATATTGATAATCAATATTATTTTATATTACTTTCAAGTGTATAGCATACTGTAGACAATTACATAATTTACAAAGTGATCCCTGTTAGGTCAAGGCTGGGGGAAGCCCAGAGCCGATACAAGCATCTGCAAGGTGGACGGTGACAAAGAGAGCTGGCTAGCTGCGCCTTCCTAGGGCTTCCTAGACCCCTGGCCCAAGGCAGGCATTCCACACTCTCATGCCCTCTGCCCTCCCCTCCCTGAACAGCTGTATCAAAGAAGCACCTGCCACCTTTTGGCGAGAACTTCCCTGGCCCACCCTCGGACCAGAGAGCTTTGCCTGGGAGCGCAGATTAAAACCTCCTCCCTTTTAATCACCTGGATTCTGTGTGTTGCTTCTACGTCGCAAACCTCTCAGCTGGGACCTTACAATCCCCTGATAATGCTAGTACCCACCTGGCACCATACATAGTTTTACAATATTATTGACTGTATTCCCTATTTCCTCCTTAAGCCTATTTTGTAACTACCAATTTGTAATGATAATGGCTTTTTAATTTAATATATACTTCCTTTTTCTGTAGATTAAGATAATAAGCCCCAGAGTTGTTAAATGATTTTCTAAAGGTGACTCAGTGGCTATTGGCAGAGCCTACTTCTGAAAGGCTGGAAAATCAAATGTGACCTCCCAGGCCCTCCGAGGGATAGAGAACTGGGAGGCTGGCTGCCTTTATTCTCTAATTCACCCCACAGACCATCTCTAGGATACGGCTTCAAAAATTACAAAAACAGGTGTTTCTTAAAAAACAAGCAGCCCCCTGAATGTGACTAGAGTAAAAGTATCCGGGGATGGGCCCTGGCATGTTATGGTTCAGTTGGTTGGAGCATTGTCCCATACACCGAAAGGTGGTGGGTTCGAGTCCCCGTCAGAGCGCATATCCAGATTGTGGGCTCGAGGCCACATGTGTGAGGCACCAATGTTTCTGTTTCTCTCCATTTCTCTCCCTAAAAAATCAACTAAAAAATATTTGGAGCCCTAAGTGGTTTGGCTCACAGGAGTGTGTGTCAGCCTGCGGACTGAAGAGTTCCAGGTTTGATTCCGGTCAAGGGCACATGCCCGAGTTGTGGGCTCGATCCTCAATAAGGGGACATGCAGGAGGCAGCCAATTGATGATTCCCTCTCATCATCGTTGTTTCTGTCTCTTTCTCCCTCTTTCTATCTCTGAAATCAATAAAAATATATTATAAAAAATCTTTGGACAGTTTATCTCTCTACAGTAATGCTATTCACTAGAACTCTCTTCAATGAGGTTCAATGTTTTTTAAATCAGAGCTATTCAATACAGTAGCCACTGGCCACCTATGGCTACTAAGCACTTGAAATGTAGCTAACGAGACCGGAAAACTGAGTTTTAGAGTGCATTCAATTTTAGTTAATTTAAATTAAATAGCCATATGTAATTAGTGGTATCATACTAGACAGGGCAGCCTAGAGGACAGGGCCATTTCCCTGTCCTAGCTCTGGGACTTCCTTTGTTGTGATTGCCGGTGGTAGATTTAAATAACTTGAGCTCAACTTAATAACAAATAAGTTAATGAGAAGATGTGTAGAGTACTCTGTGAGGTCCTGCATATGTGGGGTTTCTAAAGGTGGACAGGACTTGTAATTAACCTTAAAAGTTCACAATTTAGTAGGGAAGCCACATATACAGAGATAGAGTGTAACATGTAATAACATGGATAAATTGAGTCAAGAGATTTTCATTTTGCTGGGACCACAACAGAAGATTTCATATAGGTAGATGCTCCTGGGCTGGTTCTTGAATTCCCGTAGCTTTGCTTCCTGAAGGAAGATGAACAATGAACCTTGGCTGGGAGACCAGCAATGGAGGGGAGACAGTACAGAGGGGGCATCACTGAGCTCTGATTAGGATCCTGGTTTTGCCGTCTGCTATTACCTTTGTGATCCTGGGAAAGTGACCCAACCTACCTGAGTCTCTCAGCTTCCTGGCCTGTGAAATGTGGTTAGTAACAATCCCATGTCAGAGGGTTAAATGAGCAGCTTAGCGCAGTAAGCATGGAAAAAGTGTGAGCCTCCATTGTGAATATTAGTAGCATTATTGTGTCAGCTAACAGAGCTGGGAATGCGAGTGCAGAAGCGGAATCTTAAAGGACTTCCTACAGAGTGGTCACAGGCACCCAGATGGCTGCAGGCGGGCGCCAGGATGGAGGGCGGATGACTGGGTGCCCTAGGAGGTGGAGACGCAGCATCATCTCCCTAGACATTCAGGTCCTCGATGCTCTCAATCTACCAAGCAGCAAGCTGGTCCAATACTTTCGTTGCTATTTTTTTTTTTTAGCTTTTATATTTGAGTTTATTCTTTATTTAACTTTTAAAACACTTCTATAGTTGAATTGTTTCCATTTTTAAGGTTCTAATGGTCATAGGTAATTTAGAACTATAGCAAACTGGAATTTCAGGAAGAACTGGAAAACAGAAATCAGGACCAGAGGCTGTATTTCTCAGTGTCATGATGCTGAGGGCTGAACTACTGATGTGGGGAAGGGGCAGGCTAAGGAGGTGTGGGCTACTGCCTGCAGCTGTCTGCAAGGCTCCCTTCAGAACAGTGTCCCCTCCCAGGGCAGTCCTCGGAGTCCTCCTGCCGACTCCAGGGGGCCCCACTCACCGTCACAGTCAAAGAGCGCAAACACCACATCACACACGTGGTCTGAGAGCTCCACTTTGGCCACTGTCCTGGCCACCTGCTGCATGGTCACTGAGGAAGAAAGGAAGATGCTAAATTAGCACAGCAGAGGGACTTGCATTTGCTTTCTGTAAATGAAGTGGATAAAACTACTCAGTCATAATAAAGAGTTTTCAACTGTATTTAAGAAAATGATAATTTAGTTTTTAACCCATAACCTACTGGAAAGAACATGATAACAAAAGTAAAGAAAATACCTGGTAGCAAAAGGAAGGGGAGGTGGGAAATGAGGAGGCTCTCCCTTCGGTTCCCGACTGACAGCAAGGACCTGCGTGGATGAGCTCCTGGCCCCTCCTCCCTCCCACAGGAACTTCGTCCTTTCTAACTCAGCCCCTGGGGGGAAGGGATGGCCCATCTCACTAGTTCAGGATGTAGCCTTTTTTGTTTTTGTCTTTTTCCGATCTCCAAAAAATCTTTCTCTCATGCCATTTTCTCATTTTCTGACATTTACTGTTAAATACTAGCAATCACGTGAGAAGTGTGTTCTTATGAAAAACAAGCCAGGAAGGACTAGGCAGTTTCCACTGCCTTTTATCCCATTTATTGAGATCTATAAATCTTATATATGCATTAACTATGCTATTGCTTCTAGACATACTCTTAAGTGAGGTAAAACATGGAGGAAAGGAAAGAATTAATTTATACTTATCCAGAAGCAATGTGAACTTAAACTAGGGCCGTGTGCCTTCTCTGCCTGTGTAATCCTTGTAACTTCAGAGAAGCCACTTGTTCCTACAGTTGGTCTTTCCCTTCACCTCTGTCACCTCCGCTATTCAGTGCAGGTACAAATGCCAGAGCAATGCTGAGGAGCGGGTGATGCAGGGGGAAGGCTGGGCTTGAAGTCACAAGACCTGAGCTCCAGTCCCGGCTCCACCACCAACACTGTGTGAATGGAGGAGCTTAACCTTTCTAGATTTAATTTTTTCATTCAAATGAGGGAGTGTCACAAGATAACTGCTGAGGTGGTTTAGTGTGCAAAAGGAGTTCCTTGGTGTTTTCTAGGATCTGAGGGTAGGGTCGGGGCGGAGGTATGCAGATATAGCTGAGGATCTCTGTGGCAAAGGGTAAGGAAAGGCAACATTAGCCACAAGCCAGGCTACACCTTCGTGTTCAAAGCCTCTGGCTCGCGGGGCACTCGGCTGCTCAGGAGGGTGGAAAGCGCCAGCTTCTTCCTCCGTGCAGCTTTGGGTTACTATTCTGCCTGCCCTCTCTCTGATGTGAGTTAGGGTGGAGGAATCAATGCCCTTGGAAAGAAAAGATTTAAGCAAAAAATCCTGTGCTGGTGGATGCCCTGCCCATGGGCTGTGGTAACTGCTGAAAGGGGAGCTGGGCTCCTCACGCCTGCACAAGTTGCAGGGTTAGAAACATCTCCTGGGTCTAGACGTTCGATTTTGTCAGCTGGCCCAGGAAGCACGGGTTCCCAGTAACTCAGCTAGCTGCCCAGGGAAGGAACAGAAATCATAGGCCAGGTGATAATGGGGAGAGTAACTAGATAGAGAGTGAAAATGGTAACAGCTGGTTATTATACCGTACTTCTCAGGTGGAAACCAGACTCAGGAAACTCAGTTCACCTCAGAGAAGGCGCAGGGAAAACACTGGGTGCTCTCAAGCTGTGATCGCCCCCATGGCTACAGAAATGTGTTCTGAGAAGTAGATCAAGACTTCTGTGTCCAAACACGAACGCTTTTTGTTAACCATCTCTTTTTCTGCATTTCACATCCATCTCTCGCTCTGTCATAACTAAGTATCCTCTCTTTCTCTTCCCCAGTTCCTCCATTCCCTAAGGGCAGAGTGCCTACTGCCAATTCCTCTTGGTATTGCGGGTGCCCACCCTTCTGCCCATGAAGATGGGCCTTTCCTCTAAAAAACCGTGAACTAAAACAGTATCTAAGGATGTCAGTGCAAGCTCTTGAGAACTGTCAGTGAAAGCTCCTGAAAGTATTACGTGGCTGTGGAAGAGGGACCTCTGGAGGCACCAGCAGGAATGAATGCCTCATCACAAACACCATCCTGTGACAGTACAGCTATAGATTATCCTCCATCTCACATGGAGGGCTCGACACCACTGTGCTGCAGGGGAAAGCCCAGGGCTGCTAAGGCATCGCAACTCAAAGCACTAGGGAAGGTACCAGTCAGCAAACAGCCTGGGGGAGGTGCCTTCCACAGGCCCCAGGATATGAATCAGAGCAGAGGAGGAAACAAACATTTAGCTAGCTGGTGAGCTGTCAAGCCGGGAGTGCTGGGGACAAGTGGGATGACAGCAGATTAGAGCCAAGCACTCGACAGCTGGTCCTGAGAGTTGGCTCATTCATATTTGCTTCCACATCCCTGAATAAATCACTAAGTCGTAATTAAATCACAGTAAGCAGAACTCCCCACCTTCCCCTGCAAAAGCCGACTTCCCCATGCAGACCAGCTGTTGGTAGTGGAGTCTGATTGATGGCTGAAATTCCAGTTTCCAATCTCAAAGATGTCTACATGGAGCATGAAATCACCCTGGAGAAAGCTTAGGTTTCCAAGGCCTATGTACTCCTTTTGTACAAACTTGGCCCAGCTGCCTGAATAATAGATGGACATAAGATTGGTGATTTCTACTAGATTGGGACAGGGGAGAATTTGAAGAAGTGGGCTCAACTGGCACTAAAAAATGTGGTACCATCTGGCCTTCCAAAAAGTCCAAACAGAATCTGAGTTGTGCCAAGTTCCAAGTTACTCTCTGCCATGTTCCACGGCTGGACAATTCAACAGTTGAGAGAAACACACAGTGAATTTGTGTGAAGCAATCCTATATAATAAACCCTAATATGCAAATCGTCCGAATACGGGACAATCCGTCGCTATGATACCCACTGACCACCAGAGGACAGACGCTCAATGCAGGAGCTGCCCCCTGGTGGTCAGTGTGCATCATAGCCAGAAGCCAGACTCATGGCTGGTGAGTGCAGCAGTGGTGGCAGGAGCTTCTGCCTCTGCTGCAGGCAGATGGTAAGGAGTAAAGGGTCCAGGACTGCAAGAGGGTGCAGGCCGGGCTGAGGGACGCCCACCCTCCCAGTGCATGAAATTCTGTGCACAAGGCCTCTAGCATTACATAAAACTATTTACCACAGTAGCCAAACAGAAGAAAGGAGGAGAGTTCTGAAGTGACAAGAGCCCACATAGCCACATGGAATCAGAGAGAATCTTAGAATTGGAAGACACTTCAGAGGAGAGGTGAAATCCAAGAGGTTAAATGACTTGCCCTGGGTCACAAAGCTAGCTGGTAACAGCTGGGTCTAGGATCTAGGTCTCCTGACCTTCAACCTGATGACCTTTCCCCTACACACACGCTGGGTCTACTTGACAATACTATTCTCCTCAATAACTACTGTCCTAAACAAGAGAAGGAGCTCAGAGGAGAGAAAGGCCAAATTGGGAAATCCTGAGTGTAGTGAGGAGGGGTGAATAGCTGAGGATTGTGAGGAGGCAGCTTTGCAGTGTGACCACAGATACACCCAGTGGAAGACGTAAGCATGCCCTTGTAGCTTACTGACAATTTCACAGACAACGTAAAAGGCTTATTAAACTGCAGCCCAATGAAAAGCACGTGAAATAAAGGCGGCCCCGGGAGCGCTTCCCACCGCTGCCTCTGAGGCAGACCCAGCGATGGGCAGCATGACCCAGCTAGGAGCTGCCGCCGCCTCCTACGCAAAGGTGTGTGGAGGGGTGATATGCCAAGTTGGGCTGACAGCCTCTGGCTGTGTGGCCATGTGATTACTTCTGCAGTGGAGAGAACCAAGAGCTGGCTTGTGACTGCCAAGGTTACATGAGGGGAGACATTGCTGCTCAGCCCTGGAAGGGCGTATGATGCAGATGTCTTAGTTTCTTCAGCCCAAACCTAGATGGCTTTGGGGGGAGGGGTGGGGAGAGAAGGAAGGATTTTCACTTAACGGGTATTTGCCTTTCTCTTTATTTTTTAACATATATATTATTTATTTCAGAGAGAGAGAGAGAGAGAGAGAGAGAGAGCGAGAGAGAGAGCGCGCGAAACATCAATGATGAGAGAGAATCATCAATCAGCTGACTTCTGCATGCTCCCTACCAGGGATCCAGCCTGAAACCCGGGCATGTGCTCTGACTGGGAATCGAACTGTGACCTTCTGATTCACAGGTCAATGCCAAACTGGCCAGGCGGTCCTTTCTTTTTTATCTTCTTCTTCCAGGATACTTTGGCTAATGTAACACCCAGCTGATTTGGGGTGGGGTAGAAGATAGCATTTAGGAGAACTAGCAATGGGGGAAGCCAGGAGGAATACGGTATACTGAGGATGACAATTGTAACAGTCCGTGGTCTGCACGGTGCTTTCGACCACAGGCAGGTCGTCCCTCTGTGCTCAGCTGCCAATGGTGAGGGAGGTCCTGGCTCCTAAACCCTGTACGTGCTGAGGAGGAAACCTGCGTCAGGTTTCTGAACCTCAGAGCTGATGCTTCAATGGGCTTACTTGCTTAGCACCATTAGGTAGTCAGTGATTCCAGCGACACCAAGATCAAGAGGGCCATCCAATTGAGTGGAGAAATCATACGTGCCATTAAAATTGAGAAACACACAGAAGAAACATCAGACATATTAACAACCCATCCGAATAGTCTGTATTGGGCAGACATATTAACAACCCATCCGAATAGTCTGTATTTGGGATCTGAATCCTAAGGACTGAAAAGACTGCTCCAGTTGTGGGCATGCATGGCAGTGGGTGACACGGGCTGGGCTGGGGGAATCAGCTTGATTAAGTACTGAAAGCAGGAGGGGATGCTAATGCCTGGCTAGAGCTAGAACAGGTGCAGGAGACAGGATGGGGGCTGGAGAGAGGGCACATGAGACGGTTAGAATAGATTTGACAGAGGCTAGTCAAGTTTCCTTGTAAGAACACCTTCATAATGACGCCAGGTCTTGTTTGGAGACCAATTTCCCATATTAATTTGCTTTCCCTCCTAGACTCTTTAAAATTTCATTCTTTTTATTTTAAAAAGTTATT